AGACAGGCGAAACAAAGGACCCGCATGGTGTGGTGGTGAACGCGTTACTCCCCGGAAAGGACAATAGCGCGTTCGTTCCCCACCATAGACACCTGCGGTCCAGAGTTTTGCAAATATCTCAGCAACGTTGTGGTTGTATTTCGCTTAGTACCCTGCCGCGAAATTATAGTAGGCAGAAAATAAAAAGGTATAACACTGTGATTTCAACTACTAGTTGACTTTTTTCCCATCGAGTCTTCGGCAGTAAAAATTTTACTTTTATGGCTGAAGCATTTGGAATCAGCTGTCACCTGCCTTCTATATTTATGATGGAAAAAACGTTGAAAAAGGTTGTTAACGTGTGTATTTTTTAAAATCCATCTGATTCGGTCAGATTTCGCTCGTAGGTGTCGGTTGAATCGATGCCACCACTAGATATATAGTGGCGATAATGAGTTTCTGGAGAGTAGTTCAATCCTAAAACTTCAGGCGCTTTCGTGTAAACTCCTTTGCTCTGGAATCACTGTGGTTCAGATGTATAAAGTACTTAGTCGCCTGAGCACAGAAATGATATATTACACGAAATACTACACAGCTCTTCTCCTTTTGTTACTTCATTGATACCAACTATTTTCATTCCACACTGTCTTATTTTTAATACTTGGTGGTATTTGTAGTCGAAAACTTCCAGTGAGACTGTTGGCAACGTTCTGCACGCTTTGAGGTTGTCAAGGACGAACATACTTGTTTCGTACCTTTCAACTTGTTCTTGGTGACCTTCAAACATGTTCACTTTCGCAGCGCATGGGTTATTCAACTGTTATTTCAGGACTTGTAAACTGCAACGAATCCTCATGGTTGACTTAGGACATTTTAATTACAAAAAACGTAGAGAAGGATTATTACTAGTGCATAGATCAGTTTGCTATGCTTCTAATAATGTAAGAGTACAATATTCTCGTAGATTATTAAGCTAACATGAGCCTCGTAAAAACTTTTATTCGCTTAACTTCCCGGCGCCTTCGCTCTCTTCAGAGCCGCATTGATTAGAGTCAAACACCCGCTCGTACTAACGCTCTTATGCTAAATACCAGCTACTAGAACAGTTCAGGATATAGAGTCACCATAACCGACAGATTAGTAGGTCATATTGGATGGCAGTAGGCCCACATCCATCTTGCATAAAAGGGCACCGCCGAGTGAGGATACTCTATCCGAGATCTGTCCTATTTCGGAGGATTTGTCTCGAAGCGACACCGGAGGCGCACATCCCTAGGAAGAACGGCTACAGGCCAATCGCCTCATATCAGTGCGGTTCTGAAGACAGCGAAACCATCGGTACGCTAGTCCAATAAAACTTTTACCAACGTCGTATCAGCTTGATGGTCTAAGAAGATGTTGACTATTTATACTGAATTTAAGTGAAAGTCGGATTTTGGGAAGAAGGGTTCAAGGTCTTCTTCACAAGTGAAAGGTCTTGTGATAATATAAGACTTCAATCATATTAAGGAACAACAGCTTAAACAATTTCTGAGTCACTTCAGATCTGAAGCTGCACAAAACAATGGGAAGACTTTTAGTGAGCACTAGTTCCATTACCTGTTACAATACTTTCTGAAAATGTCATCGTCCTGTTTGTATAGACTAGTGTTTAGAAGGTTTCTATAATGCACACATGGTCATTCTTCCATAAAAAGAATAAAGGATAAAGTCTTCGGCGTTGGTCGCTCTTTGAGGGATGTGTCATGCATTCAACTCATTAAGTATCGTTGAAGGTGATGGAATGCATATCTGGCCTTTACAATGACTCGCGGTGGCCTACCGATGTATTGAGCCAGTGCTCTTATCCTCCTAGACAAGTCTGGTACCAATTTGCCGACTCCGGAGGGATGGAAGGCTTGGTAAGCCTTGGGCGCTGGAATCCATTCCACGTATGTGTCGCAGTGGCACTTCCAACCACTGCTCCACACGCGCCCATCCTATCTTCCATACCTAAGAATTCGTCACGTTGTCTTGCCTAGAAGAATAAAGAACACTGAACCAATGAGTGCATTGGTAGCCACCTGCTTGCCACTGCATGGGCCAAATATGCATCCAACAACCTCTATGATGTTACGAATGGAGTCGAAGGCAAGCTGTATCCCTAAGTGGCAATCAACACCGAACGTTACAACGTTAATATCGCTGTTGCCTTTGGAATCGGGTAGTGCAGTGGTAGTGATGGCATTCACTATGCGGACAGCATAACATACCTAAGCCTTAATTCTATCCTGTAACTGATATACCAGGCCTGTTACCTCATGGCTTGGGAAAACTGTTACCACACCTTTCTGCAACAAGCTCACCTCTTTAATCCACATGGCTACGCTCTAGCTCTGCTATCTCATAATTTCAAGAACCGATTTGATCAGCCCTAAATGGCATTCGTGACCATTTCGAAAGAAATTCGTAAACAGCAGCCGAATGCACATGTAGAAAAAGTTCAAAGACCTCAAAAATGGTAGACGCGAGAAAACGAATCGAACGCATGAAGTTCTGGGATCTGTACAGGGTATGTGGTGTCAGGTCATATAAGAAATAAAAATAGATAGTCTTGGTTCGGCTTTCAGTGAATCGTACTTAAATGAAATCTGTTTTAAGGTGCCGAACCTGTGGAACGCATTTGGAAGAAGAAAGAGTGCTGGGTAAACCATTGCAATTTTCTTGCCTTTTTTGAATTTTTTCAATTTTAGCACCATATTCGCTTAAAAACATTATCTGGTAGGAACTCATTTCTTTAAGATAGATAGGGTGAATTATAGAAAACCCTTCTCTTTTCGTTCTTCATTTTGTGCGCACCACCATAGTATTCAATTGATTTCATCGACTGGAAGGGACTTCTCCCCATTAGTACTAATATATCCTATGAAAAAGTGGCTGCCACAACAACTAGCTCATGTCTCTTGTGGAGCGAAGAAGGCCTATCGCCGATTTACGTCCTTTCCTTCAAGCGGCGATTTCTAGCAGAAAGTATAGAAAGATGATGACGCATCGTGTTGCATTTGCTTATTTCCATTAACGCGTACGCGACATTTAATTTTGCCTGACTGCCACAATGGACGACGCCTAGTTTTCTGTCCTCATGGAACTGCAGGCCTTTCGAATATGGGCGATAATACCACAATGACGCTGAGATATTTACAAAACTCCGGAACGTGGTGCTTGCGGCGGGGAATGAACGCGCTGTTACCCTTACCGGGGCTATAACATTTTCACGACAGGGTATTATGTGTGATACAATCACAATAATGCTGAGATGTTTGCAGAACTGTTGACGTCAAACGCGTGCGGTGAAAAATAGTATCATGCAATAAGTAAAATGTTAACAGAGGCGATAATATTTCAATAAACAAGAGATTTATCGGGCTGAGAACATAACAAAACTGTCGAAGAGACTTTTCTCTATCGCTTCATTGCTATGGAATAGATGTGTGCAACTTTTTACGACATGTTACTAAAGGTCGTGATAATAACACGTTGCTGACAACATTTGGAATTGTTTCACAGCCTGCATAGCAAGTTTTGAGCCTATTTCTGTACTTTTTGTACCCGGCCATTCATACGGTAATTATGACTCGATGAACTAGTTGGAATTTATGTAGCAGTCAGTTAACAGAGAAAATAATTACCTGTCAAGATGTCATCGGAGAGAGGGTTTTTCGTATATTCCCAAGTGCATACAATAGGGCTTTCCTCGCCCGACATCCACCACATTTGTATTGAATGGATGAGTGATTGATTACTACTGCAGATGCAAGTAAAAAGTTCTGTGTGCTAAACCGAATTAGCGTAGGAAAAATCACCCCTATAGGAGTCATACCGGTCACTGTGTCCCTAAAGAAATGAATACTGTAGAGGTCACGTTCTCCAACAAGGGCTAAGTAAGATAGGGATGAATAAAACACATTCTTGGCTTGAACAATGACTTTCGAATGTCTGCCAGTGTACCAAAATTTTTATTCTTTACTTTTCGTTTTTCTCATTTTTCGTTCATATTTCTTTCACTTATCTGGGAACAACTTACCCATAACGGCAGCACGACTGGTTCTATTGAAGCGGTGAAGGACCGAGCCAGAGACCATGTGTGTGTTACTCGGGGCACCACTAACCAGTACACTACTCCATCAGAATCTTTATGTGAATATTTCGTTCTCTTTCCTATCTTCTATAATCCTATCATAACAATGAACTCCATACTGCGCATCGACATAGCTCTTTTCAAAGGAACATATTGCTGTTGAAGCGGTGAACTACAGTGGAAAAAAGTATGAAACAAAGATAAGCCTCGAAAAGTTCTACGAAGTAGTATAACATGCTTTTTTCATTATTTTGTTTTGCAAGACCCGTCAACACATCTTCTGTGCGGATCCCTGCATTTCTCATATTTTTCTCGCATTAATCTGGTGCGCTACGATCTTCGAACATTTCAATTATTGCAAGCACCATCAGCAACTTGCATAAAAGGGCATCACTGAGTGAGGATGCCTCATTCGAGGAGATGGCTCACCGAAGAAGACCTGACTCGACACGAAGGCGAAGCTGCCACGTCGAGACGAATAACAAGCGTGGGCCATCGACTCGGATCATCGGCTCTGAGGAAGACGAAGACGTCGGAACGTTAGCCGAAAATAAATATCATTATCAACCTCGTGTAAGCTCATCAAAGAAAGGGTACATATTGATTAGTAATACCGAGGTTTCAAGAAAAGTCGGTTTCGAAATATTTCAAGTATTGTTTCGACTGCTGCTTGAGGATTTCGTCTTCTTTTCATGAATGGTGTAGAATGCTGGTCGAGTCGACTTTTTTTGCGATCTTGGAGTTATCCGGCTAACGGATTTCCAAGGGGATTGGGAGAGAGTTGGTAAAAGGATCGAACTAAGTTCTTTGCTTCCTGGTACATCTACACACTGCATTTACCTTCCTCTTCACGAATGCTCCTAACATGCTATTTGTGTCACTCGAGTGAACAGCTCTCTCACTAGTTCTCGGATTCGGAACAATTGAAAGCTTTTCCAAAGCTCATGAAATTTCAAGTGTTAACCACATCACCTATAAGTCAACATGGTCAGCCTAATTAGAATAGTGATTAATGAAGCGATTATTTAAATCATTTGATAACAAAAGATGTACCCTGATATTGTCTCTTCTTAGCTGACGGATAGTTTTAAATGTTTAAGGTTTTAGTTTTTTTAAATTAAAGTTTTTTTTAAAGTTTTTAACGGATAGTTCACTTAGTAGGACTTGTTAGTCTTGTTGCATTAAGAAATTACATGGCTACGACTATAAACATGACATCTGGTTGTTTTTTAAGCGAGCTGTATTTCTTTACGGTGCAGATTCCAGCACTTCTCGCATTCGATTCCTTTCCTTGAATTCATCATAGATGGAGGTGTTCCAACTCTTTACATGTGACTTCGGCTGCCTCTTAAGGATAATTCTTTCATCATGTTCTTAAATTCTGGTCGAGTCGATTTCCCCGGAGTTCTAAGACAGTCGGACTAGGGCGCCCCACTTGGATTGCAGAGAGTAAACTTTTTCAAGGCAAGTCTGGTACGAATTTCTCTACCTCGGAGAGGTTGTTGAGACCGGAGCAGGATCGAACCAGCATTGCTTTCATGATCGGCTTTACTACTGGTTGCTGTTGATAACGCGGATTTAATTATTTAGGTTTAAGGCCAAAAAGCGTGTATCGTAGTGTTAGACGTGTGATATATTCATGATCTTTAAGTTGATTCCACGCCTTGAGCTATACAAGATCGCCATCTTTCCGGAGTTGGTGAACTGTGCCAAGTTTGCCAGGGAATGCAAAAACCACGGCTCTGCAGATAGACCTGCAGATAGCTGTATGTGAATTTACGAGCCAAACAAGTCCATCCAGTCGTTTTTACAATGTTATGAATAGAGCTGGTGCATAGCGCATCCTTTAAGGACGGATCGATGCCTAATGCTTTATCACGCCTTCAAACTAACGTTTCGCTATGTTGAGGTCAACGATGCCACATAGAAAATACCTCGTTCTGAAGTTGAAATTGATTTTAAATGTTGCAAATTAATTGCATTTAGTTAGATGTTTGCCAGGAAATCACTTTCGAACACTGCTATATCCCTCCCTTAAGAAGACGAGCACATCGGAAACGTCAGGTGAAAAATCATTTTTACTAAACTCTCCAAGTCGGCTTAATAATTCAAGAAGTTGATTTTTTAAACTATTTGTGGAATCGTCATGCATTACGACGCTTATTGCGTCAGGATAAAAACTGGATCAGGATTTGATTCTAGAGGATTCAATTTGCTGTCACTGGAAGCGCATTGGAAAACTAGAAAATCGCCGTGCGCAATTCACACTAAAAGAAATCGAACCGAATTTTTTTTCGAAAATGCAGCAACTTTCTAACGTTCCTTGTGATATTCTGTCTGTTTTATGCAAAGTCTCACACGATAAATATGTACTATTCTAAACCTTTTGTAAATTTTCCAAATTAGTTAAAACATAAAAATTAGTAGAGTTAACAAACACTATTCATCAATTTCTACAGATAAATGAGGCTTAACGACGTGTTCCATCTTCGAAGAAAACTCCACCATCGATGGCGCAGTATTTTGGACAGATACCAGGCTCGCCACTAACACCAAGTAGTCCAGGGGGTCCAGGCAATCCTGGAATTCCGTCCTCTCCCGGTCTTCCTTCTGGACCAGTTGGTCCTTTCGGTCCAGGCTCACCTGAAAAACGATAAATAACGCACAGTAGCACCCTCTTTATACACGTAAATATGATTTCGTAAAATATACCTGGTGGGCCATCTTTTCCAGGAATGCCAGGTGGTCCAGGTACTCCCTGTGGCCCAGGTTCTCCAGCTGGACCGGGTTCTCCTGATATAAGTGGCTCAGAAGCTGCATCAAGTCCAGGTTGGCCAGGCGAACCAGGTGCTCCTGGGTTCCCATTGATTCCCGGCGGTCCTTTCGGACCTGGAGGCCCAGGTGGAGAGTCAATTCCAGGCGCACCAGGTGCTCCATTTGGCCCAGGATCTCCAGAAGGTCCTTGAAGTCCAGGTGGTCCAGGTGGACCCGGGGGGCATGGTTTGCATGGTGGTGGTGTTATTGGCTCACAAGGTTGGTATGGAGGACGCCCTGGAGCTCCAGGAAGGCCTGGAGCACCTGGTTTTCCTGGACGGCCAGGTTTTCCAGGTACTCCGGCCACGCCGACTGGTCCAGGAAGGCAGCAGGAGTCGCAGATATTGCTCTCTGCATTGTTATTTGCGGATACTCCAACATCCTGATACCCAGCTTGTCGAGCAGTACGATTGCCTAAGGGGTAGTTTTTAAGAACGTTTACTTCACTCCAAATGTCTTTAGCAGAGCCCTAAAAAAAGCAGTTGAAGGTTTCTCAAAATTACCATAGACCAGAAAAGGAAATTAACTTTAAAACATACTTTGCAATAATTGATCTCGGAGTGCATTGTCATTTTGACATGGTAAACGTAGTTGGAGACCATGGGTAAAGTAACACAGACAGAAAGCACGGCGACCACAGAAAATATGACTGCCGAGTAGGCGACAAAACGATACGCCTTGATGCGATGCTCCAAATCCATCCTAGGCAGCGAATAGTGTTCTTCACTCTGCTTAAATACTCTCAAAATGATTGCTGCGAAAATCGTGGGCGTGACGTCGGTGTGTTTTCAACGTCGTAAACCAGCGTTCTGCTTATGCTAGTGAAGCTTGACAGTGCTCTATAACCGGGCTCCGAGCAACTCAAAGAAACCGCTGATCACAATCTGGTACGTAATGAGAATAGCTCCTGTTACAGAGTGAAATATGGGCTTCATAATCTCATCTCTTTCATGAAAGTATTATAATGCAGTAACAATGCAAATCATACATGACTCTACCATAAAACTCCATGTTTCTGCGATTAAATTTATAGAATGTTTATTGACCATCACGTAGCAGGTTCTAGAAACACTCGTTTAAAATTTTAACTAAAGCAAAATAGCAAAATGAGAATGCTCGAAGCAGGATAAACTGAGAGTAGGTGGAATAGATTAAGCACAGATATAAGTGATCTGATTCATGGGAATGAAAAACATTCTTTTTCGCTTTGAGGTTTTTGTTTTAAATAGTGTTAACCTTAGCGACAAATTCCTGATCTTATCGCTAAAGCTCTAAGGACTTTAAACCACTCGTCGAAGGATGCGAAGCCTCTCTGGTATTCTGAGATTATCGGAACCTTCACGCTTATGCGGGTGATGAAGACGTGTATCGCTAGTGTTTCAGATATGCTTTCTCACTAGTACGATGTTAACGATGATAATAACTTTCTAAAGGAAAGATTTGTCTCCTGATTTAGTTGCTGTTCCTCATGGGTTTTTCATCTCATCATGGCTAGTAACGGTGCCGTTAGTTCCCGTACTAAATCGGCGCTGTCCTAGCATTATAGAGAGTTCAGGATTTTCGTCGGAAAGCCCACTTAGCAGTGATCCATTGATAAATATCACTTCGATCCATTTATCAAACTAGCCGTAGAGCGACAAGCCCAACGCGATCCACAACAGCTAGCGACTGCTTGTGATCACGGGTTGGAAGATGGCTAGACGAGCTATCTCGGAACCGCAGAGAATTCCATCTAAGAAACAAATTTTTGCTCAAACCAAGACTGGACGGCAACGAGTTACCCACGTAAAAGGCTAGCACGTATTCTAGCCATGCTGAACAACCTTGCTTTCTGTTAAACTGAAGAAAAGTGGAGTTCCATCGTTCCTCCATGTGATCTGTCGAAACACTATGATTAACTAACTTTCATTGCCAAGTTACTGCAGAGCTCGAAAATTTGATGAGTTTTTGGCGTTAGTCACTCATTCCTCGTGATCGCCGTCGCGGATATAACAAACATCTACATCACCTCCTAATTCTATTGGATCCATTAACTTTCGGGTTACTGCTCCTTTGGGCAGTTTGCTGTTTTGCTTAAGGAATTAGCCCTCATTTATTAGTTTCATATGTTCTTTGAAGGAAACGTTGCAATTGAAAATTGTTTTCGCTTACATACTTTGTCCGTCATCCTCAGCAACTATGCTGTAATCAGACTTATTACAGAAGGTGATTGCCTGCTGAACGATTAAAAGAAGAGCGAACGCTGTCACTTCTATGAAGTCTGTTTGACTGTGAAAAATCGTACCATCATGCAAGGGGAGAATCAATCGTCAATCCAGTTCCGTTCAATTCGTCAGCTTTCAATCACTGAATGTTACCGAAAAAATTATGATTCATCTTTCTTATGAAACGCGTTTTTTTTTGTTAGCGAATGTAAAACTCCTATGTAAATTACGAATGCCGTTGGTGATTACCTGCGCTCTCAAACCGGTAGCGGAGCTCTATACTTTACACAGTTCTATGTGAAAGGTTGCCTTTCATTTAAATTATCATAGTGATAGCAACAGATAACATTTTCACTCTTTTCACTCCCTGTTTTATACAAGTGCATTGGAAGACTCTCAAAAGTCTAAATCAAACCTTACGAATGATAAAGAAAAAAGCACTCGACTTTGATCAGTAGTTAGGGATTCACATTCATTTGAGCCCAATAGATATCGTTGAGATGATTTAATAGATATTTAGCGTAGTTAACCCTGCGCGTTGGATCTAAACAAACCCATCAAGCGCATTACAGTCCACCTTTAATGACTGCGCTAGACGATCACCTAAAAAGCACTACTGGGTACTAAATTGTGGCCATGAAATAAAATCATTCCGAACCCTGAAAGAAGGAAATGAAAGCACGTGAGAAGCACCTGTTATCTTGAAATGGCAGCCACTGATGAACTATGGAAATCTGAAATTGTGCACATGAAAGCACAAAGTTTATGACATTTCCACGCTTTCAGATTCTCTTACCTTCTATGTCATTGCTTCTAGAAAAAAGTAACTTGAATACGAAAGAGACACAAAGAATAACACAACGTAAGACATTTCCTAGAAATCAGCGAATACTTATTTGTCGAATTTGAGATTAGTACAGGAGTTGCCGGTCTGGTAGATGCTTTGAACTTAAGGACAGACATCAGGCAGATGGTACCTTGTGGTTGCGCTTCGTACGACTTGTTCGAAGCAGGTGCTACGAGCTGAAGTTCTTCTACAGCCCAAGGGATCCGGTCCACACAGGAATTATCGATACCATTGTTCATTAAGATTTAATGAAATGTGAAACCAAGACCACAAATTAGTGCTCTTCTCGCCTTCGCGTATTGCCGCTATACTAGCTTGTTAGAGCTAAAAAGCTCTTGACGCTGATCTATCCTGAGGGATGCGCCATGCATTCGACGTATATCTGGCCTTTACAATTACAGTGCCCTACCGATGTATCGAACCAGCGCTCTTATCCTCCCAGACAAGTATGGTGTCAATTTGCGGGCTCCGGATTGATGAAAGGTTTTTTGCGGCAGTGGCACGAGAATTGATCCCATGTGTTTTCCAGGGTGCCTTCGACCACTGCTCCACACTCGCCCTGCTAACTTGATATTAGCTTTTATCTGCTTGCATATGTGCATGTTTATTTATCTGTATTTGTCAATGTTGTTGACAAAAAAAGGCGTGTGTGACGCAGTGGTCGGAGACGCTCTGCAACACACGTAGAATCGATCCTCGCGCCCATGGCTCATCAAGCCTTCTATCCCTCCGAGGTCGGCAAATTGATACCAGACTTGCCTTGGAGGATAGCAACACTGGCTCGATACATCGGTAGGCCACCGAAAGTTATTGTAAAGGTCAGATATACATTCAATCACCTCCAAATGATGCTTAATGAGGTCGAATGCAAGGCGCATCCCTCAGAGATTGATAAACGCTGAGTGCTTTATCGTTTTTATCCTTTAATGAAGTCAAATGCATGGCGCATCACTCAGGGATTGATCAACGCCAAGAGCCTTACCCTTATTCTTTTTAATGCTGTTGACGAATATTTTAACCATTAAAAAACAAGTGGTTAACGTTAAAGCAACAATACTGACGATGTTCGAGAGAGCTAAATATTGAAAAAAGGAAGGCAAGAGTTTAAAAAAAAGTATTAGTCCCTGAACACTTTCTAAATAACCAACAATTTTAAGTGCTTGAAATCGGAAGTTAATCGTCCACTTTTAGGTTCCAACATCAAACACAATAAATACCATAATTACCAGCAAATTTTACTCTTCAGAATGAAATTGCTTCGATGACGATACTTTGTGAACGAAATGCAGAGTAACTTGCTTAAAGCATCTGGTATTTACAAAATTAATCAAATTAAAAAAAAACAAAACGTGGAAAAAAGTTCCATACTGTACACAAAACTTCTCTTGCAAGAGAAAAGCATTTCCTCGAATTTTTTTGGTCTTTTATATTCTTCTAAACCATTTCACGTACCTCACCAGTTTCGTATCCCGCCCGAGTTTTTTCGGTTTCTGCAGTGTTTAGTATAGTTGAGGATTAGTGCTGATCATTAATGAATTCGATGTCTTTCTTCAATAAGCAGACACGAGGTTGTTATTATAGAATTTATTAGGATACAATAGCCGACGTTTCGGGGTTTCGCCCTCATCAGAGCTTGGAAAGGTTAAATTGAGATGCGATCTACCCAGCCAAACATTTTGATAACCCCAGCAGATAAAACTTAACAAATAAATTTGTATTCGCATAAGAAACAGCCTCATTTAAACATCTACCGTTTATTTGTTATAAGTATTTAAGTTGGTGGATAGCAGCCGCACGGACTAATACATGGACGAGACTGTGCCTGTGTTAGGTCATTGGATTAGCCTGAGGTATGGCGCCAGGTCACGCGTGATGACAAGACACTCCTCTTTGTGGTTCATTTTTGAATTGTCATTATATATCCACCATCAGCATCGTGTATAAAAGGGCATCAATGAGTGAGGATGCCTCATTCGAGAAGATGGCTCGCTGAGGAAGATCTGGCTCGACAGGAAGGCGAAGACGCAACGTCGAGGCGAACAACAAGCATGGACCATCGACTCGGATCACCGGCTCTGAGGAAGACGAAGACGTCGAAACGTTAACCGAAAATAAATATATTTATCAACCTCGTGCAAGCTTATCAAGAAAGAATACATATTGATTTGTCACACCGAGGTTTAGGGAAGGTCGGTTTCGAAATAGAACCACCATATTCTTACTGCTTGGCTTTTGATACCACTTTGTGATGTAGCCGTTTCGGATAGGTTGATTTGAACGTTTAGAAATGGAAGCCAGTTTTCTTTCGGTTTTTCACGGGTGAATTTTATGTACTCTGACTGTTCGTTCAATAACTCAAAGCATTTGTCCATCTCCTCTTATGTGGAGCAGATGACAAAACAATCAACTATATACCTACAGTAGAGTAATGACCTGAGATCGATTACTGGTGCTTCGGTCTTGGGAATTGCTGTATTAATAAATGCTTAAACTTTTATTACTTCCTAATGTTTTCTCTCTTCAGAGCATTACATGGGTTACAACCACAATGACCTTAGCCGGGAAAGGTAATCACGGATATGACTTAGATGAAGTTCCGAGTTTTGCTCATATCTTGGCATCGCTGTTACATTATCCGATGGTTATCAAT